GATTCGGTAGGAGAGAGGTTCTTCGTATCCCTCCTGGACAATCACTGGGCGAGAATACGCAGCCTGCATGTGGTAGTCGCGCTAAATGAGGTATCCGCATCCGGTGAAGCCCTGTGTCGCGCTCTCCGAGTCCATGCGCCTTATCTGCAACACTTCCAAATAGTAACCGATTTCTACATACCCTGCCAATTTTTCTCTAGTGGATTTCATGCATTCGCGGGTGGAGCCCCTGCATTGCGCTACTTCGAGGCACCGGGCATCAGAATCAGCCACTGGCCACGCCCCTCATGGTTATCGCAACTCCGGTGTCTAAAATTCACCTCTCCATTTACTGCTTACGAATTACTCGATGCACTATCCAACATGCCATCGCTTGAAACCTTCGGATTATATGCCAGGGTTCATCGTGAAGATGGTCCTTTCTTTCAAGTCGAGAAGGCCGGTTTACCGACAGTATTTCTTCCGCGACTACAAGATATCGACATGAAGAGCAACCGACCTTCAGAATTTATCGAATATTCTGCGATTTTAGATCACATTATCCCGGCTGGAGACTGCTCCCTGCTTGTAAGAAGCCGGGATATCGATCAGGATGCTGGGAATCTGGTTCCTATTCAACACGCTCTCTCCACATACTGCGCATTTTTTTCTCGACTCCATAAACCTCCCAACTTGCAGCTATTCGTGGCTGATCGAGCCTTCCGTATTTTGCAATCGAATTCCTCGTCGACGATCAAATTTCAGATTTTTTTCGCGATAAATTTACTCGATCCGATAACTCCTCTGCTCTCTCTCTCCTCACACGTCATGCAAAGCGTTGTGCATTTGATTCTCACTCTTTCCGACGGTAACTTTGGACCCACGCATCCAAATTTTGTCAAGATTATCTCATCACTTCCATCGGTAAGAACACTGGAAACCCGTCCACATGCTCTCCAGCGTATCCTTGATCGGGTACTCCCAGGAAACCACCCCACTTTCTTTGGCTCGCTCGAAACGGTCAAACTTATCGATATAGAAGACAATTTCGAAGCAACCTTTCTTTTTGCATTCCTTATGCACAGAAAGTCGCAGGGGCTCCCAATCAGCACGATTGACCTTCATATCCCAACGACACCATTGCGCACGTTGGGGAACTTGTCCATGCTCGACAGCTTATTCGGGTTAAAGGTGGTGTGGGGTCCTATTCTTGTCCGAGGCACTGGTTTAAATCGGCCGGGCTCAGAGGAAAGTCAAGAGTATATTTGTGGGAGCGGGAATCCTGAAGCGCTCAATTTCACTAGTACTGTACATCGTGGGATTTGGTAGAAAGCCTTTTAGGCTGATCCACCTCCGTATCCGAGTCGTTCAAGTTGTCCCTTGTTTCTTACAATGTTATTAGTTATAAATCGGCGCCAGCTTAATTTAGCCATTTGAATCCTGATTCTCAATAAAGGTCGACGTCGTCGCCAGATGCCTTGCTGCGACGGGCCAGGTGCATGATTGAGTTCAGATTTGGTTGAGATTTATATAGGTATGCAATATGTAGGGTCAAAAAAAAAACGGAGTCCTCATCAGATTTTCCAGCACTGTATACAGCTCTCCACGAAATAGGGCGCCAGCAAAGACTAAAACTCCGTCAAAGTCGTCCGAACTCAGTCAACCTTCATCGTAACACTTTCTAGCGATTTGTACCCGATAAAATGACGAAGCTAGGGAATGTTTAACGAATGTTGGATCAAATCCGACCCAAATCCGACCAGCCTTACGAATGAGTTACGCATTAACGAAGAATCGGTGGAATCCTCATCAACTCGCTCAAGAGGTGCCAAGAGGGAAGCAGCGATTAGGTTGTCAAATTGAATGTGAGCATCGAAGATTTCGGCGACATAATTTGAACAACGGACGGCCAGACTCCAGATATTCTCAACACTAAGAAAGACTTCAGAGGAGAAGGAGTGACGATGCAACGACAGAGGGTGCAGTTTGGTAATAGGAGTTACATGAAATCGACCGTCAGCCCGCAAGACGCAAATGCAAAGAGGAATGCCAAACTGTCCCAAGAGCTTTGCCGAGAGTTTCCGTTTGATTTAGAAAACGAGGCTGAGTTCGACGTTGTGGAAGCAGCAGAAGCAGAATCAGGGGCTAAGATGGTAGCAGTCTGGGTAGCGGTTGGGGCGACAGCGGCGTTGAAGGTGTAGATGGGGAAAAGACGTCCCGTGAATGTCCCAACTCCAGTGGTACTAGCCAGTCGATATTCGTAGACTTCAACGTAGCTGGCAGACGCCTCCAAGATAAAATTACATGAGAGGTTGTCGATATATTGGATTCCTGCCGAACTCTTGATACCTTGGGACTTCTACCCTGATTTAGCTTGCATCTGCGAGAATCGACCGAATGATGATAAGTGGCCAGTCGTTGTGAAGTGCATGGCGAAAATGACTCACCGACTCCAGCTATGTCTGTTGCATTAATGCCATCCAAGTTGAAGCCGCCTTGTTTGGCTGAACTTGTAGGCGAAGGCGAGATAGTGGTGGCGCCACGGGGGACAGGTGTCGCCGTCGTAAGCGTAATGACTTGCACTGTGTAGGTGGTGTATCCATCTGAGCCCGTTCCAATGGCATTGATTAATGTAGTAACTGGAACAGAAGGGGTGGCTTAGCTGAGTGCAAGCCCAGCCAGAGGGTTCACGTATGAAACTTGATTACGAGTCCTATTTATAGGAGTCGTTCTTTTTACCCAACCCTCCGCAGAAAAATGCGTTACGCTTGGAATACCGCAGGAACAACCTTCCTATTTTGGAATGATGGAGTGATGGCATCTTTATATTTATAATCAGTTTTGATGCAGGCTGCCTTTGTCCGATGTGTGTGCCTTTTCGGTGTTAATTCCCACGGACGTGTGAAGGTCATGTGAAATGTCGTGGTTATCATTATAACGTACATACTATAGTACATTTTTTTTGGGCTCGTTACACATGAAATTATATAATTACAAAGTTTGCATGTGGTATCAATGGCGGGAGGATGCGTGCAGTTAGCAGGCAGGAGGGCAACGTGAAGGGATGGATGCGACGCGAATGATGGAGTGTATTTATTTTTAGATCCCCAACGTCATTAATCATTGCTCGGATGTGTTTCGTTGCTGGCGATTACCTCGGCAAATGCCGGAGGAGCCATCAACAACGCCCAACGTTGTTGGTTCAACCACCATACACTCCTCGCCCATGCCTCCTCCGCCTCTCAGAAAGCTCAAGAAACGGTAAGTATTGTATTTATTTTACTTAAATCTTTAATTTCTAATACTTTTTAGATAACTACGACATGGGCTCGAATGAATCGCCACATCATCAGCCCCTCCCCTGAGATCTGAAGGTGTAGAAAGCCACAGAGGGCCCCCAAGGATTGGGAGGCCCGCAAGGTGCGTCGCAAATGCGATTGTGTTTGTTTTTATCTTTTACTTCTTCGAACACTTACTAACCTACCTTTCTGCAGGTTGTAGATGATGCAGAGGCGACTTGCCATTGCCTTTCAATGTCGCCACCACGTCTCCACCTCCCTTGTATGCAAGAGCGAGCTGGAGGTGGATTCGTTTTGTTCAACACTACCACCGCATCGTCCACTCCCTCGCATTCAAGAGCGAGATGGAGGTGGACTCTTTTCGCCTTTCAATGCCGCCACTGCCTCTCCACCTTCCCCGCACTCAAGAGCGAGACGGAGGTGAATTCCTTTTGCCTTTCGACGCTGGCACCACCTCTCTACCTCCCTTGCACTCAAGAGCGAGCCAGAGGTGGATTGCTTTCGATGCTCGATGCCAGCACCACCTCGCCACTTCACCACCTCCTTCGTGGCCGCTGCTGTATGTGCATGAGCAAACAAAAGGATGCCGCTGAGGCCTCCTCCAACTATTACGACGATGCCGCCACTTGCTGAACGCCACGCAGTGACGCCGTACTCACCTTTTTCACCACCGCATCTGCCTTCCCACATCATCACTACTTGGCGCCCAAAGTGCCGCTGGTGGCACCACCGCTCGCCCTTTCCTCTTCCCCACTGAAGCCCTGAGGCTTGATGTCTCTTGGCTCGCTCGTACTCTTATGTAGTTTAAATATCATAATATATTTATTTATTTATTTCTACTCTACGTCCCGTGTGGGATACCCGTACCCGCCATAACCCACGATATCCAGTCACCTCTAACCCGCGGCTCGGCCAGTAAGTATATGCCCTGGTAAGGGTACGGGCTATAAAATGATGGTGAAAGCAAGTCGGAACAACACGTGATATAACAAAAGGACTCGTAACGCCGGGCACAGCCTCGGCCCACACAACCAAGTACAAAGTGACCTGCGCATCAACTAATCTCACGTTAGACGAGTTGAACGATTTCCAGAATCCGAAAAATGTCACAAACCTAGGATAGCTTCCAATGATGCCGAATACGATAGAAATAAAGGATTTAGATTGTAAATGCATCACGAACTGTAAGGATAAGTGGGGTTCAATGGGGGGTTACGATTATACAAGTTCATACTAGTATACAAGTATTTACGCATAAAATTCTGGTTGCATGGCAACCAAGAAACTGCAACGGCCTGGGGCCGAGCCCGAGTCATCCGACCTTTTGTAAGTCATAAACTCTCAAGAAACGGAATAAAATAATTAACACGACTTTGATCGCAAAGCAAGGAAGCCTATAAGCTATAAAAAATACCCAACAACTGGCTGGCTTTTCACAGGGTGTGTATTTGAATTCATCGACTACGCAGGCTAGCGGACAGGTTACTTATAGGTAAGATTTCTCCATTGAAATTTCGTCTGTGAATTTTGTAGCGTCTCCACAAAATAACATAGAAATAAGCAGGCTGTAATAGAACACACATACTTAGTAATCTTAAACGGATTCCATTCCGAGTCGTTGTCCAAAATGATGGGAGCCTTTGGCGAGCCCAACTAATTCAGGAAGCAAGTCGAGGAGCGACACTCACAAGCTAGTGTTCATAGATGGACTACGTCTGCTCATCCGGTATGGTGTAACGGCTAACATTACCGCCTTTCATCGTCCTACAGCTGATCGCGGTAGCTCGGGGTTCGATTCCCCGTACCGGAATATACAGTATTAGACGGGTACTTTGTACACGATGGGTCCTTTGTACAGTTGGGTTTTTCAGACCCAGTGTGCATCCCTAAAATAAGAACGAGCTTTCTACATATGATAACATCCTATAGGTATGGTAAACTGACGAAAAGATGGGTAGAAAGTGGGTTGGGCATTTTCGGTGCCTGGAATACCCAAATTGGACAATTTCCTAGAAAATGTATTTTACCTCCTGAATGGTGATAACGAAAGAAATATGGATTTTTTTTGCAGAATACATTGGAACCATCCTAAATACACACTATGCACAAAGGAGATTGTAAATCGGATAAGAGCTCGATGAGCAATTGGCAAAAAACCTTTGGAAGAGGGGGGAAAGGGAGATGCCGAGATGTGATGGCATTACACATGACATTAACAACATGTGATCGGCATGTATTAAAATGCCGGTGTACAAAGTAATTAGAAATGGCCCAAAAACCAATTTTCAGCTTGCGTCGCGATTTCAGCAAGAACCGCTTCACCTCTCAAGATTAGATTTGACATACGAAAATTAGACATGTATAGCTATATTATTATGTCAAAAGATTTGAAATTAACGGACATCTGGGTAATGAAAAATTGGCCAACATTTTTTGGTGTACAGACTACCCGTCTAATACTGTAGTGCGAGAACAAAGTTTTTACATAGGATGTAGAAAGAATTAGCGTCAACTGCAGTAGTTTTTTACATACTTGGACAAGGTTTCGACATATAACAAGGGGTACGTCATCTCATCATTATCACGAAGGAAGAAATACAGAGATATAGATGGCCACAGGGAGAAAGCCCACTTTATCGATATCCGTGCTATCGACCTCAAGCTCCCTCCCATTCTCGTCCGTACATCCTTCCCTCCAGTCGTCAATTTGGTGAAATTATCTCTCCTGCTCCTCAGGTTTGATTCGAACGCCTTTGAGCCCTCGCATGCTACGGCGCTCGCGAATCATGACCATGATAGTTCCAAGGACTGAGATTCGACTGGGTTTCAGGTCCATATGGCACTGAATTGCTAGCCACCACGAGCATCCATCTGTTCCTCGTGGGATTGGGGTAACTGGCGTGTCGTCAACGAGAGAATCAAGCTCAAAACCGATCCGTAGGTAGGCTGAAGTTGCAGTACCTGAAAGGCATACAGGGATGAGCAGGGCACCTCTTTGCGATGGGCCGCCAGGCTTCAACAGCTCCGGGTGTTCCAATAAAGACTCCAGAACACGAGGAAATTCGCGCATCCTCCTCCAAGGTATGGTGCTTCAGAACAGGATCGGTCAGTTGCGCATTACGCTCGCGGGTATCAAGTAAGGCATGATACGAACCTCGCCAAACACTTTACGCCTCAATCCAATGCTCGAGAGCCGATAAACTTCCCTTCTTTCTTTCTCAAATCTGGCTCGTAAGCATGCTCTCGAAGACGAAATTCGGATATTCAGACAGAATGGTGTCTCTGCTAGCAGTGAGAAAGTGAGCCCGATCCAGTGGTAAACCTAGTAGGGTAACCATACGCACCTTATCGAGGTCCTTCTGCGTCGAACGCCTGCTGGATCACTCGGCGAACCGGGTAGAGTAGGGAACGAACGAAATGGTACTTCGTTCAGCGATATCCGACGACGTCATCCCCCCTGCACGCCCCGCTTCTCCTTTATCGGGCTTGTTTTTCACAGCTGCTTTCTTTTGGGCGTTGTTGGAATGGAGGCCCGTGGCTCAGCTCAGGCGGCTTCCTTCAGGCAAGTCTGCAGAGCTTTCACCTTCAAGTCCGCGAAGAGACCCTCACTTAGTAGAATCTCGCTATCTTGAACATTAGCTATTGCCCATGAGCTGCAGCTTCAGATGCACACATACGCATGACTGATAGCTTATCGACGTCAGAGAGTAGTTAAGTATGCCATGATTTGTGATAAGACTCACCGAACTGATTTCTTGTCTGGAACCACGAGAGCGGTAGACACACATGGAATTAACTGGGACGGAAGAGGAGGCGAGGAAGGTGGCAGGCCGGAGGAGTGGTACAAAATTCCGTCGTGAGAGGAACGCTCAAGATGAACGACTGGATCATGATGGTGGGAGCAGCGAGTGATTATCAATGTATTATGTAAGTATATTATTCAAGTTCGCCGAGATGTCCGTCTGCTGCTGTGCTTTTTTCATCGTTCAGACTCACACCAACTGAAAAGAGTCAAATGACTTCTACTTTCTTATCACGTCTCATTGGGCACATCAGGCAGATAGATGGTGGTCACTATCGACCAATATCAACCTTTGACTCGGGCTTAAAATTTCACCCATTGACCAAGCATTGACAGCCTGAAAGATATCGCCGGTAAGGACACATCAATATGGAATGGACATGTATAGACCGCGAGGGTGCAAAATAACTAACCTTGCCTTCAACGACTTGAGAACATGTCGGTATTTTCACTCGAGGGCTATTTAATTTTAATTGATCAAGTTTGGACCCGGCCGGGGGATATTCGTTCTATCTGTAGTACTACAGCGGGTATTTGGCTGGGTCAACGGCGGTAAGTTGCTACCGGGTACAGTCGTGAAAATTGACTCCCATTGAGAATAACTGATCGTTGTCTTGATGCAAATGTACCTCGTTCAATTTAGAGAGCATAATATTATTGCAAAGGAGTTACAGCGCTGCATCTTGATACACGAAAGAATCTAAAAATTGAAAGTTTGAAATAAATATGACTGCTCGAGACTTCCGAATTTAAGATCCAGGGACAGGCGCGACGGTGGGGGCGGGCCCAGCGACGGTGGCGAGGCTGGGGAAGGGGAGTTCTGGGCACTGTAGAAAACAATCAGTAACCGCAGCCAACAATGTGTGCGATAGGTTTACTCACAGCGATCTGGACATCCTTCTTCGAGAAGCTGGCTGGGAACTTAATAGGTCCAGCAAATGATTGGGGAACAGGGACGACATCAGAGCAGTCGATGAGCTTGCGAGTGTTCTGGCCAAGGACTTGAAGCTTAGCCATGGCAGCCTTGAACGCAGAGGTCATGTGGGCTTCATTGTCTGTTGATTGTCACATTAGAATGAGAGCGGTGGAACATGAGGTGGGTTTCCTCACTGATATTGGCTTGCCACAAGCAGGCGGTCCTGGCGTCTTGGGAGATGCGGAAGTCGCTCTGGAGACGCATCTCACCAGCGAGAGGAGACAACACTTCACCGGCTTGCGAGCCATTACCGGGGAAGGAGGTTCCCTTGAGGAGGACTTCCAAGAAGACTTGAGAATCGCTGTACACCGAATTAGATCAACTTTGGCCAAACAAGTCAGATATTCACGTACAAAGTTCCGACGGTAGAGTCAAAGGGTGTTCCTGGGATAGTTGGGTCAACAACATCGGCGGCAGCGATGGTGTGGGAAGCCAAGAGAGCAACAGCTTCCGAAGGAGAGAAGCCAGCATCGGCAAAGCGTGCCAAAATCGAGGTCACGGTGTCGGTGGGCTCAGGGACAGTCAGATCAGGTGCGGGGGCGACCGGTGGGGGACGGCCGAGCATGAATTGGAGCCTGGGTGCACCAGGGCAGTTGGCAGTGCCCACGGCGGCAGCGAGGTGGACACTGATCGAAAATAACTGGTCAATATGGCTGATATCTTGATGTCTAAAGTGGGCTTACAAGTCACCGGCAGACAGGGGGGTAGGAAGCGTTTGGAAGACTGGGAATTGACGAGCTGTGATATCATCAATGCTATGGAAAATCTGTCAGAACATTTGGTCTCCAAGAGCAGTCGAAAATAATCACCCTCCGTTGGCGTGGAAAGCGAGCTCAGTCGAATTGAAGATCAAGATGGAACCATCAGCGCCTCCTCCCTTTCCGCCTGATGAATAAAAATAAGTCGTGAGATTGAATGGACATCAAAAATGCGAACCGTGGATGGAGAATCCAATAGCATCGTGGAAAGAGAGACGAAGAGCAGAGTGAGCCTGCAGAGTTGAAGGTAATTAGAAGCTGCATCTTTGTTGCAGTAAAGCACGCCTTACCTCTTCACCGCACACGCCACCGTCGAAAAGATTCGCCTGAAGGAAATCAACGACGGGGAAAAGAGCTAAAATCGTGAAAATGAGAGACAAATATTAAACGAATGTTCAGACTGGCACTGACCACAACAAGCAGCGTTCGTGGTGGTCTGACCAGTCGAACAGGTAACGCGCCTGGTGAGGGCAGCGTTAACGAGCTGGGATGCTCCGAGAGCAATAGCAACGATAGCCGAAAGACGAGCAAAAGCCATTGGTGTCCGAGTGCGGTTTTGTGGATAAGACGAAGAACTCGAGGATCCTGAAGACTTAGTCTTTGACTGTTGAACAAACGTCTTTTATACTCATTTCTGAACTCTAATTTCAGCCCTGTCGTCTGAGTACCCTAACTTTCGAAATCAGTATGATAACAATGAATGTTTAAAAATACTGCTGACAATCCCGAAAAACAAATCCAGTCGAATGGAACGTGAGTGAGCGTGCGAAGGATACGAAGGTATGGAATCAATCGTGAAGAAAAGTGTAACAGCAAACAAAGTCGAGGGTGTGATCGGTTATGCTTGGGTTATGCGCGCATTTCCACGCTAACGCAAGGGGAGAGGAACGGAGCAGGGGTAACATCAGAATAGCTCGCGGCAAAGGTAGACGCGCTTGGAGTCAGTCTAATTAAAAACTGCCATGTTCACTGTCTGACCCGGGATGGGCAACAGTTTCTAAACATGGCCTGAAACTCGTCATCGCAAGTACGCCTCGCCCTCGAAATAGTCCTCGAGGAACCGGCAAGTCTAATTCCCAGTGATAAGCTGAAGTTCCGACGACAAGCGCGTGAGCAGCAAGCGAAAAGACTATAATTATCCAAACCTTTCGTGGGCATGGGAGTTGGTAAGCTTGAACACTGGGAGGGGTACCGAACTAAAGAATCCTACAGTGTCAGGTCGTCTGGTGATGGTTCCATTGCTTCGAGTCGGAGGTTCCGGGTTTTATGAAAGC